AGCACTTTTTAACATTTTTTTACAGCATTGGGAAAACTCAAAAAGCTTCTGAGGGGAACATTTATAAGACAGTTTGCCGCTTTTTTCCAGTCTTTGTGCACAAATTTGCTTGTAGACTTTATTTTTTTGTAAAGTTAAAAATTTATTATCTTAAATTTGGTACGTTTTCTTGTAAATTTGACATTTTTTTCAACAAATTTTAGTGGCCCTAATACGCCCTGTTAGGTTCATGTCCACGTGGCCATGCAGAATCAAAGAGGGCTGCTGTGTAACACAGTAAATCAGACAGTTGACTGATGGTGTATACTAATACAATACCTGATCACCAACAAATAGAAGTGATCAACTTTCCGATTACTTATCCGATGGAGATTTGTGTGAGACAGCAAACGCCTGTTGCTTACTCAGCCGTAAAAACACAACAAACCAAATAATCTGTAACTTCATAATGAATGTGAAAACAGCTGCAGGTGATACTCCAGTAAAAGAACAATGAGCAAGAGCTCAGGCAGCTCTCAGCCTAACTAGCCTGAGTATATTCAGCAGTGAAAACTCATCTCAAGCAGACTGCATGTGAGAAAAGAGCTGGAGGCATTTTAGGAGACAGTCAGTCAGGAAATTTATGGGAGAATTCTTCAGCAGCAAATATCCGGCAATGTTTCACTTCCAGTTAAAAAGATTTTTGAAAGTATATTTTAGGGAAAGTCTGCAAAGTTTTAAACTGTTTTTATCAAATTTGACCAGTCGTGTAATTTCCTGGTGAGCAAAATGATGGTTTAGGGAGGAAATCTGAGTCCAGCAGCCTGAAAGAAAAACGAAATAACCTCCAAAATATCAGAAAGAGGTTGAAGAATCTAACTGCGAGTGACAACAGCCAGTCTGTAAACCTGTTATTAATCCCAACATGTTTCTAAGTGGTGTGAAATGTTGATTCGGGTGGTTTTGTAATGCCGTTATTCAAAATTGTAACGATGTGCTACCCTTTATTTTATTTAAATGCTGGACTCAAAACTTTTTTAACCAACCACGAGACAGCGTTCGTCTGCATCCTTAATTGTTCTTATTTAAATTCTTCTTTGGAGACCAGCTTGTAAAAATAGCCAAATGAA